TATCATTGGGGCCCAAATTTGAAGTAGAGTAGATTAGTAGTATCAGCTGACCCTACTTATCTGTTCTGATCGAGTTTGTGCTTGAATGATAAGCGCCAGAGCCGGTTCGAATCACCACGCACCTCGCCGCGCAATTTGCCGCGCGCATCCTCGGACGCACGTATGTACCCATACCCGGCTGCGCGTATTTTCGTTTTCAGTGTGTGACGTCATAAAACACCAAATCTAAGGCGCACCCTGACACATGCGACGGTTTAGCCATACTATAACGAAGTTAAACTCGCACAATTCATTTCGTGGCGAACTGAAGCTAGGAAAAAGAGTATAATGGTGATCCCTAAGCAGAAGGCACATCCAAGACACAAATTGTAGTAAAGGCCACCATTTATCACTTCGCACCCTATTGGAGTAAAGACCTCTTCGCTACTAATGAATTCGCGAGCTTAACAAAGCTTTATCAAGTTATTACTTGGATCATCGCCTAATCTGTGAACGCTCGCTGCCACCTGCTTCACTAATGTAGGTATGAGAGAGCTACGAAACCTTCTGAATCGAGAAAGTCTAGATTAAATTAAAAAGCTGTAAGGGCTTGTAAAGGTGCAGCACATATCAGTCTTCATTGAGGACAAGTTAACAACTGCTACGATAACTGCCAAGCTGTCAGAAGCAGACACTTGGTTCANATTGGAGTAAAGACCTCTTCGCTACTAATGAATTCGCGAGCTCAACAAAGCTTTATCAAGTTATTACTTGGATCATCGCATAATCTGTCAACGCTCGGTGCCACCTGCTTCACTAATGTAGGTATGAGAGAGCTACGAAACCTTTTGAATCGCGAAAGTTTAAATTAAATTGAAAAGCTGTAAGGGCTTGAAAAGGTGCAGCACATATCAGTCTTCATTGAAGACAAGTTAACAACTGCTACGATAACTGCCAAGCTGTCAGAAGCAGACACTTGGTTCATAATTAAAGGAAATGCAAATTGCGATTGCACAGCATAGTCTCTTTCCAGCAAATGTATCTCTGTCTATTGTTGGACAGCGCCCAATACACTGAATTAAAAATCACGATTCCGCAATTTTCAAATTACCATACGAATATGACCCTATGCCCATTTTGTTGGGTACACAATCTCCAGCAGCACAACTAGCAGCAGCCCCGATTCAATAAAGCAGGCTAAAGAGAATCCATGTGATTGGCTGATTGTAGCTCATCCCATCTCATCTCATGACGTCGAGACACGGTTTCAAAATGGACATCAAGTGGCTGTACGAGTTTGAATCACTCGAAATAATTACAGAAAGTGGCTGAGACAAAGCAGTTGTCATAGAATTCAGGGAAGATTAGGAAACCATTTCTTCTGAAAATTGAAAAATCAATGACGAAGTCGAAATAAAAGCTCCTGCGATTCAACGACGCTCTGACGACGTCTTCTCAAGAAAGAATTACGGAGAGAGCGAAAACCTTCCACAAGGGGTCTGTACCTTTTTCTCACAGAAACACTCGGTCTCCCTCAAAAACTACTAACTTGCACTCGACGCCTCTTCACATGCAAAGGGCGACCACGTTTTTATGACGGGATCTTCCAGCATTCACTAATTCTATTAATATACGAATCTTCCTAATCTTCTTTAATGCCGCGCACACCTTGGTACGATGGTTGTGGAAAAATAAAAAAATTGGTCTTACCAATCCGGTCGCCTGAAGAACACATCTCTTTATACGGCAGGAAAACTTCAAGTACATTGATTACTGCTGAGTTACTTGGCATCAACGCAATATCGACGATTCGACTAATCGATACCGAGCATATCGAACAGTCGCAATCGGACTTTGCTTCCGAAATATCCAACGTCCTTTACGCGGACGATGAGCTCCTCGGAGGCAGGACCGTGGAAGAACTTATATAGAAGTCGTAAAAATAGAATAGTTCTGAGTAAAGCTGGCTATTCGCTGTCCTGAAATGAACCTGAGAAATCGCCTCTCGAATTCTGCATCGTTAACAGGAACATTGCCGAATGGAAGTGAGCGACTTCTAAGGAAGTAAAGCTCTCGGAGTGCAGTGGGCGTCAAGACACTATTTAATTATTGGTTTATTTGGAAACGCGAACAAAGTTCGCGCGAGTACAAATACAACAAAGTTCCTTAGAACAACATGACATGCGGCATTGCTGAGAAAGAAAAAAAAAACAAATGAATGTGAACGCAAAAAATTTGTGTGAAATAGGTAAAATAAAATGGAATCTTAATGAAAAGAAACCCTAAGGAAACCCTCGAGGCAGACCTAACTAGAAATCATTTTCTTGAAAGCAGCTAGAGAAAGCTTGAAAATATCACCTTCAAGCAATTTGTTGCGGTCCGCAAGCACTCTAATAGAGAAGCAATTGGATCTGACGTTAGTCCTGCTTTTCGGATCCCTAAGCTTAACTTTTTCTGCTCTAGTGCTAAGGTGACAAAACTGAAAAAATCATAAGGTGTCAGATTAGGATTTTGAAATTCTACATGCAAGGATTTTGAAAGCCGTAAATAAAACGAAATCCTTCCTTCTACTGCACAAGCTGGCTAAACCGAACTGCCTTCTTCTTCCAGACCCATTAGGAATGAGTGGTAGCTGAGGCCACTACAACGCAGGACAAGCTTACGAGTAAAATTGTTCTGGATACTTCTAAGAAATCAATATCTTTCTTTTTGTAGGAAGAAAGAACAGTCGTACCGCTCTCAAGTATAGGACGAACATATTTTTATAGCCACGCAGTAGCACGCTACAGTTCCTAGTGCGCAGAGCTCTGAAGAGATTACAGATTCTGAAACTAGCTTTGTTTGTAAGCTTACCGAAATGTTCAGTAAACGAAAGCTTATCATTAACCAGAAAATCTCTTGCATCAGAAATGCGTTTGGCACCAGATTGGCACCAGATTGGCACCGTTGACACTATAAGAATAGTCATGACCTGGATCCCGACCGATCGGCAAGAGAACAGTTTTTACATGAGACAGGGGGAGCTCCCAGGTACCTGAACAGCTAACTACTCGATCGATGGCTCTCTGAAGATCAAGACTTTTTTCGAAGTTTTCAACGTTAGTGCAAATTTTTATATTATCAACATACATTGAACAAGTGATGCCAAGCTGGAAGATACTGGAAGGTAGATCGAAGGTGTATACAAGAAATAGAAGCGGGGAAAGTACGCCTCCCTGAGGAACACCGCTAAGAGCAAGAAAAACAGAGAGAACGAATGTCCAATTCCGACTTGGTAGGTTCGGTTCTCTAAGACATGCTTGATCCACATGACTATTCTCCAATGGACACCGACCATAATCAGCTTCTGTATCAGTTTAGCGCACGGCTCCTTGTCAAAAAATTTGGCGAAATCGAAGAACACAATATGCGCGGGCTCATGCTCATCCATAGCTTTGGACCAGTCATTAACCGAGGAGAGGAAAGCCGTTTCAGTTGATCTGCCTTGCCAGAAACCGTGTTGACATTGCTACACTATATTTGTCTAGATGATGAATCAAATGAGTCTTAAGGTTCTTCTCAAAAGCCCTAGCGAAGAATGAAGTGATGGATATAAGATTTTCTAGTTCAAAGGATTAGGGTACGGAGATTTTTTGGGAACAGGCATGACAAAAAAAGTTTTCCACCGAGAGAGATCTCAGCTCGCATTCAAGTTAAGTTAAAAAAAATCCCAAAGGGTAAACAATCAAGGGGAACATTTTTTCAATGAATACCCTACAACACCTCCCCTCTTAAGTTGTATCATATCGGGACTTCTTAGGATCCAACTGGAGTCGGCGCTGCGGTCGTCGATTGCGTTGCGATCGTCTTAGTGGAACGGTCGGAGTCGTCCGCGGCGCACGGTCTTTGCTCACACAATCGAAGAGTGGCAGATCGAACACACTAAACGAGTGTTTGTAGTTGTGGTTGTGGTTGCGTCGCTTCTATGTCGTAGTTGGCTCACGTGTCGGGTCCATTGTAGATTTCCACAGCGTACGAGGTATGTTGTGTTTCCAGCACGTCGAGCGATGACACCCGGAGTCCAAAACTGCTTAGCTCCTCTATAATCTTTGGCGTAGACGGTGTCGTTGTGCTCGAACTTGTGACGTAATGCTCCGTGTCTTCGGTTGAATTGCTTTTCGTCAGGGCGGGACAGACAGAAGCGTACCGGTGGGGTCCCGCCAGAGAGGAAATGCCCGTAAGATCAAATACCGAGCAGTCGAGGGTGGTCAAGAGTACTGTAGGTGATCAGTAGTGATCAGGAGGTAGGGGGCTAGAAGGAGTAAACATGCCTGGGGAAAGAAAAGGCGCGGGAAAGACCGTATAAAGGGGGAACCTCGAGAGGGAGAGGTCGTCTTCTGCTTGTCCTCCTTCGCCCGCCGCCAGCGTGCCCGGAGAACCTCAGGGAGAACTCGGGGCGAACCTCTATGGTTCGCGAACGAGGTAATTAGTGGAAGGTCTTAGTGGCCGGTTCATCTTTGGTGGAACCCCCCTTCGCATTCTCTCTGCCCTGACCCTCGGGAGATCTTTGGTTGTATTGTAATTTTGATTTTGGGTTTTTTGCATCAGTATTGTACTTGTGTTCCGAGTTTTTATCGTTTTTGTTCATAAACTATTTATTTCTCGTGTTGTACCACACTCGAAACAAATCACCCGTTCAGTGTAGTCCTTAGTAGGGACCCTTACATTTTCCATTTTGACGTCTCGTTGTCCATCAGCGACGTCTTCTCCAGGTAGCATCAGGTCGAGATCGGTTCTCAGTCGGCGTCCCAGGAAGGCTTCGGCAGGTGAGCGTTGATCCGGTACAGACGGTCATGGCATAGAACGGTAAGCCATCAGAAACGCCTGGAGAGCGTCAACTGTCGGTTCCTCCCCTTCAATTTGTCGAGTCCCCGTTTGAAGGTATCCACAAAGCGTTCAGCCTGTCCATTGCTCTGTGGATGGAACGGCGATGCGCGAATGTGCGTGATTCCTCGGGAACGGCAGAACAGGGCGAACTGCGAAGATGTAAACTGCGTCCAGTTGTCCGTGACAATAGTCGTAGGGTTCCCGAATCTTGCGAAAATGCCCTTNAACACTTGGATAGTAGACGTAGAAGATATCGATGACATCTGGACGATTTCAGGCCATTTGGAATATGCATTCACAAGTATCAGGTAGAATCGTCCATTCATGGGTCCAGCAAAGTCAGCGTGCACACAGATCCATGGAGAGGTTGGTTTTGGCCAGGAATATAGTTCGCCTTTGACGGGATTCTTTGCCACTGAAGCGCATTTGCTACAATTCCTGAAAAGTCGTTCGATGTCGGTATCCAGTGTTGGCCAGTAGACGTAGCTTCTTGCGAACATGTTCATCCTTGTCTGTCCCGGATGAGCCTTGTGTAGTGTCGTAAGTACACGGCGTTGTAGTGATCCTGGTATCGCTATGCGAGATGCGGTAAGTAGACAACTGTCGACGGTCGTAAGAGTATCTCTGTAGTAGTGCCAGAAGGGAGAGTTACGAGCGATCGTGGACCAATTTCCAGACTTAATGTAGCCGATGATCTTATTTATGACCTGATCAGCTCTTGTAGCAGTCCAGATTGCTTTGGCAGAGACCGGAAGGTGACGGCCGTTCTCGATAAGTTCTGCGGTTACATCGACATCTACGTTGGCGATGACGTAGTCCTCCGGCGTTGATGAGTGCGACGCTATGAGACGTGAGAGATCGTCCACTTGTGCGAAATCCTTTTTGTTGACATAATCGATTGCGAAGTTGTGGTTGAGTAACATTGTGGCCCATCGCTGAAGACGGTTGGCACTTTCTTGCTTTCGAAAATAGAAACGAGTGGCTTTGATCGGTCTTCAGCGTGAAGTGTTGTCCGTGGACAAAGCGGTGAAATTTCTGTACAGAGCATATGAGAGCTAGAACTTCCTTCTCGATCTGGCTGTAGTTTTTCTGTGCTGGAGTAATGCAACGTCTACCGTGGTAGACGACCTTCTCTGATCCGTCGGAAAATCGATGTGAAAAGTGTTGCTTCAATTCCGGTAGTTAGAAGCGTGGGCGGCTACGATGATCGGAAGATTCGGATCGAAGCGAGTCAGCAACAGATCCGAGCTGAGTGTTGCCTTTATTTTGTCGAAGGAAGATTGGCAATCCGGTGTCAACGTGTAGACAGCATCCGTCTTCGTAAGGGCGTCTAACGGAGCGCGTAGATTGTGTAGATCTTTGACGAAGGTTCCGTAGAAATTGATAAGTCTGAGAAAAGCGCGTAACTGACTTACGTCTTTTGGAGGTGGCATCTTTTGTATGGCTTTTATCTTGTCGAGTTCATTGCGTCGTCCTTGTGCGTTGATGACGAAGCCAACGTAGATGATCTCTGTCTGTAAAAAGTGCATTTCTCGAGGCGAGCACGGAATCAGTAGTCCTGGATTCGCTGTTGTGTTCGTCCATGGTCCTGCTAACGACCAGTATGTCGTCGAGGTAGGCGGCAGCTCCATCTAATTCGGCAATGAGAGCGTCGATACATTGCTGGAAGATGCAGGGAGCAGATTTCACTCCAAATCGTAGGCGATTGAAACGAAGGAGTCCTCGGTGCGTATTGATCGCCAGTAGTTGTTTTGAATTGTAGTTCACTTCCAGTTGCAGGTACGCTTCGGCAAGGTCGAGTTGTGAAAAGTAGCGTCCTCCGTTGAGCTTCGTGAAAATGTCATCTGGAGTTGGAAGTGGGTGTTGTTGCTGTCCAAGTGCGTCGTTCAGTCCTGTCGAGTAGTCTTCGCAGTGTCGTATTGAACCATTTCCTTCTGAACATCGACGATAGGAGCAGCATATTCTGAGTGGTAGATGGGCGTCAGAACTTGTGTAGATATAAGGCAATCGAATTCAGTCGAAATCTTTTGAACAGCGGCATATGAAACAGGGCGAGCCTTCTGAAAGACAAGCTTGGCGTTCGGCCTCAGAGTGAGCTTGGCCTTCGACTTGGTGCAATGTCCTAATCCAGGCATGAAGACAGTAGAAAACTTCTTCTTCAAGCGGTAGTGAATGACAAGTTCAATGCGTTGGGCGTCGATGAGGGCAAATTACAGATAGAGCCTTCGGTTAGGCGACGAAACAGAGGGTCGTACTGGATGATCCAGTCGAGACCTAATAAAGACGGTGTCGGTAACGTAGCACATACCCCGTCCGTGATGACCATCAATGACGAAAGTGCACTCGTAGCATCCTCGAACGTTGATCGGCTCGTCGTTGGCAGACCTCAGTGTGATTTTAGGGGGTCGTAATGTCGGACGGCTCATAGCAATCCAGTCCGCACTGCTCAGTAGTGTGACATCGGCACCGGCGTCAAGTTGCAGGCATATTGTCTTACAATTGATCTGAACTGGGAGGTAGATACGAGATATGGAAGTGTTGCCTGCATGCGTTGAGGCGACGACGACGTTGTTGGTTGTTTTCCGCTTCCGTTTAGGCTTCTGCTTCCTCTTGGTCGTAAAGTTCTTGCAGAATCCTCGCCTGTGTCCGGAAATTCCGCAGTCGTGGCAGGTTTTGTCACGAAAAGAACAGACCCTTGACCAATGATTCGCTCCACAGCGAAAACATGGTGATGGTGGGTCGTGTATTCGGCTATGAGAGTCAACGGCGTTGATGTGTAACGAAGCAGACCTCTCGGGAGAGTGGCATCCTGACGAATGTTGAGAAATTGCTGGATCTTCGCGGCCAATTCCTTGAGCGTGGTTTGAGGATTATCTTCCATCTTGGCCCGGGCCAGGATATAGGCATCTTTATGAGAGGCGAGTCCGCATATCCAGACGAGGCATTTCATCTGTTCTGGGTTAAAGTCGTTGAATTCGGCCATCGCGTGTCGCTGGTTGACAAATCCAGTATAGTCGCGAAGATACTCACCATAGCGTTGAGTCTTCAGGTATACGTAGCGGCGCGAGGAAACCGACGTGTTGTGTCCGAAAAGTTCCTTCAGCGTTGCTACGGTATCTGACAGTGATAGCGATAGTTCACAGCTGTTTTCGGTAGAATGTGGCTTGTGAAGCGAGTGTATGTGATGGCGTCGAGCTTGGAGACGATTAGTCGAGCATTGGCAGCTTCACCGCCCTTGGATATGACGTCTTCATAGCGATGTACCAGACCTCGAAGGTACAACCATTGCCGGGATCGTATACGAATTCAGGTAGACGCCTTGATAGCGAGTTCATCGCGAACTCGGCTGCGTTGGCTGGAGACGCTGGAACGGTCGAACGTGAGCCAAACACCCACCATTCGCTCTATGCAGTTGACGAATTCAGTGAACATCTCCTGCTGCATCCTAGCTTGGGCATCTAGGATGGCCTGCAAACTTTTTATGTCCATTTCAGTGTGCGACTAACCTCCCCGTCGACCCGATTGTTGCTGCACTGATCGCTCTCGTTGTCTGCGTTGAAGCTCCTGAAGTGGTCGTTCTCGTTGTCCGCGGTGGAGTCCACTGATCGCCAATTGTTGTAGGTGCTCTTCAGCTGTTGTAGATGAGCTTCTTGTAGACAGTCGAGGAACACCAGCGGTTTCGTAGGTTTGCTGGAAGCAGCACCGGACACGGATGAATGACGGAGTAGACTGAAGTAAACTCATAAAAACCTCAGGGCATCATTCTAACAGAGCTACGTACAATGCGCGGGTTTACAAAGTCTGCGATGACATGTACAAGTGATAAAGCTTAATAATACCCTTACAACAAACAGCATCAAAAGATCTTCTTGAACCACTCTCAGGAGTCCCTGAGAGTACAATGGAACGATTAATCTCAGAATCATAAACTGTGTCAGAAGAAGGAAACCCTATTTGAGAGGAAGAAGTGGATTTGGTAGACTGCTGAGATATGAGGCTAGAATCAGCATACAACGACTTTTCTATCTGAATCTTCAAATTGGAGTTTTCTCTCCTGAGCCTTTTATTTTCTTGTAGTATCTCACCATTTCGCTTACTAACCTTGATAGGTTGTCGGCGTGTTTCATCGAGCACATCGTTTATCATCTTCATGCACGGAGGGATGTGGACCTCGCAAGCCATGGAGCGCAGATGATCCAAGGCACTTCCACTTCAGGGTGAGAGGTCAATCCAGGAACGCTCAATTGGAACGGAAGAAGAAAGAAAAAAAGTCGAAATCATGATTATGAAACAGCAAGAAAAAAGATGTCGGCAGATCAAGGATCGTCAATATTAACCGCACGCAATCGATCGATTCACCGAAAAACCGTAGAAAGATTAAGAAGAGAGCGCGAAATTCGGTGGATTCCAAAAATGTAAGGCTCCGAGAAGGTAGCAAAAAAGGGCTTCTTCGTCTGCTCCCACCTGAGTGCTTCTCACGTAAACGCACTATTCGTCTCGTCACATCAATAGCGCAGGAATAACAAGGCCGGCCTAACAAGGCAGTGCAGGTGTTGTTTGTGGGTTGTCACAAAATTTTTGAAACAGTAATCTGAATGCCAACAATTACGTGGCGAATTTTCACAGCACTGAGTCCTAGTGCAACAGGTGAAAAACTTCCAGTGCTTCAGTTGGTGTGCAACACGCAAATGCAACTAGGAATTCAAGCGGCAAGATTAATGGTTCATCTTTTGCAGTCGCAAAACGCTTGTTTTCCAGCGAATAAGCAACTAACAATTTCAAAATAGAGATACGTACCCCATAAGGACTCCATCAGTCAGATCAGGCGATGATTTCACCACATAGCAGCAGTCATCAGCGAAACTCTGGAAAATGCAGTTTATTACTCCCAGGTCAAAGTTATAAACGTGTGGTCAAGACAATATTGTAAAGCATGATCGTAACCATTCCAGTTTGAGTTATTATTCTTCACTTTTCTATTTCTTCTTCCTCTTCTCCATTCAGCCTAATCAACTTTCGAAACATTCCCAGAACTTTGTGAAAATGAAGCCAAAAAACAGTAAAAATGATGCTTCGCGTCCAATAACCCTTCTAAACAGAGTGAGCAGTTCAAATTCTCTATCAAAACAAGGAACGGACCCTTCAACGTTTGAAGTTGAGAGAGATAAGTCTTATAACGAAGACTGTCCGAAATACAAAGTTGAAAATATTTTTGAATGCTCATTTCGAACTTTTCTTTTAAGTTCTGTTTACATGATGCAGCAACAGCTCTTCGTGATCGACAAAAAGAACAAGACGGATTTAATCGTCCCGTGAATGTGTGACACAGTAACCCAAACACACGCTGAAGCGCCTCCAAAACACCGGTCGCATATACGACGCAAAGGAAAGGTACCCCGGGTGAAGCCCACGGGGATGGGTGGTGGGGCGATAGGGGGTTACGGTGTCACACACACACGGGACGATAAAATCCCTCTAATACAAAAAGAAGCCGAGTCGCGCGGCAAAAAACAGTAGCGACTAGGACCCAAAGACAATGGGTTGGGAATTACTTGCTTGATGGAATATAGAACTTATAACTTGTTTTGACTTGATGTTTTGTTAACTGCTGTTTTAACGCCGCAGTGAGCTAAGCGAAAGTCTCACAAGGATGGCGATTTGTGGGCAAAACTCCAGTCTTGGACTGGACTCGAACCCGTACTTGTCCTTTCCGGGGACCGTGCTCTTACACTAATTATGTCTCTTATCCCAAATCGCCAACCTTATAGAACTTATATTTG